ATCCAAGTGCAGTATAGCTTTTTGTCACGCAATGCACTTAAGTGATGAATTCTCATGGTGTTAGGAACAGAAGGCGATTTCCAAAGTGCTTCCAAGTTTGGAAAAATATATTTAATTTTTTTGTACTGAATGAGTTTTCAAATAACCGGTACCACCAATCTCTCAGTAAAGCTGAATATCTTTGGCAGAATATCTTTTGTGGTTAAAACACATTTTAGAATAATGTTCAGACTTCTAAGTTTTGTATTATTGCAATAATTCTGTTAGCTCTTAATACAATGTTGTGTCCATGCTCCCAATTAACAAACACCTTAATGTCAGGGGAAGAGCAGGAATTTGCAAGTTAGAGCTAGGAGAAATATGGGTCATAGTGTCCAGAAGTTGTTTTTAAATTAGGATAGCACTTTTTATGATGGAAAAAATAACCTATAAATATATAAATAATTTTCCCTAGAAATTCACCTCCAGTCTTTAATTGCTGTTGGAAAGGGAAGAACTAGGCTTCACTTTGATCTGTAGTTAATAAACTTGATCTTGGTTTACACTTCCTTCTGTTATGGAAGATCAAAGGACAGTTAAAGCTGAGACCTTGAATTTTGCATGTGTAATGTGATGCTATTTTGTGTTTGGTGTTGGAGACAGTGCTGTTTCCTCAAGGCAATAAACTCGGAATAGGTGGCTATTATTGAGCCTTTGTGATAACCACTCTGTGTTCACGTTATAGATGCCCAAACAGAACATAATGTGTTCATAGCACATGATTTTTCTTAGCGCAGTTATTGGCAAAGATCAAACAAACAGAAAAAAAAACCCAGCAGAAAACCAACTCATTCTTGTCTGGTAATTTTATTTTTATAAAATCTCTCTACAAAGATTGTAAAATTCATAGGCCATCTGTAGCAAAAAATAATTTTTAAAAAAACATCCTTTACCTAAAAAAGAAATAATCATGACACAACATGGCCAATACTGACATGAATTAATTTATGTATATTACTAGACATGACATCATTCATGAGAAACACGTGTTTTTTCTAATTAATCTTGAATAGTACACAACCCTTTACCTGCCCAGGCAAGAACAGATTGAGAATTATTGTACATCTGTACAGTAAGAGATCAAACTACCATATTCATTCCAGTTTTCTAGCTTTCTGCATAGATGCATTTTACAATATTACCGTGGATTTTTTAGTTGCATGATTAAAATAGGATTTTAATCAGTTAACTTTATTCTACAGAAATTCTGCTGTATAACCATCTGCAACATAACCATGTTTTTGTTGCATGACCGTATGAATTGTGGAATTACTAAGTGAAGGATTCTATAGGCAATAATAAGCATATGAGGGGAAACAATGCATGTAAAAATCACGTTGAACTCCTAGGTGATATATATAACCATTCTCTAGTTTTTAACTTGTGTACATCATCTTCAGTTACATTAGATCTGCACATCCATTGGTTTGGCCCTAAAATTATATTTTTTTATAAAGCTTTCTGGATATAAAAAATAGATGCCACTTTGTCTGGCATGATATATGGTGAAGATGAGTTGGTCTCATGAGCTGATGTATTAGATAACTAGAGGAAACAAAAACAATTTTTCCACTTGTTCATATTTGTTTTTCCTTTTTTAATTTCCCAAATTGCTGTATTTTGATAAGAATTGCTTGCTTTCTTTCCCAAAAACTGCAAAACCTGATCTTACTGGACTGTAAGCAGACAATTGGAAGAGTCTAAGAAATCATCAGTGTGTAGGGTTTGTTAGTATATGCTGTGTCAACAAAACATGGCTTATGGCAGATTGATTCTGCAGGCTCAGCAGTCCTAAAGTAGGCTAATGTTTGGCTGGGAGACCACCTGGGAATCCTGGGTACTGTAGGCACAAACCAAGAGACCAAGATCAAACCCTTGGCAAATATTAAACCACAGATGCTGAATGAGCAGAAAGACTTCGTTTGGTACCGTTGCTGCTGCTGAGCTGACAGATGGGAATGACACCCGACAAACAGCCCTTCCCCCAGTGAAAGCTTTCTGTTGGTCTGCAAATGGCTGAAGGACATCCAGGCAGCAGCATTCAGTGTAGCCTCTTTGGGGCTAATGGCACCATGTATTATCTGTCTGTGAAAGCAAAAATGTTTTGAGGAAAGTCAAAAAATTCCCTTTTCTTTCTTTCTCGTGAGGCAGTGTAGAAACAGCTACCACAAGGAGACAGGGAAGAAGAAGGAAATGTGGCCTCTGTGGCTGAGAAAAAGACTGGGACTTGGGTTTTGCCAATTCCAACCTAATGAGTGGATTTGAAGCAAAATTGTTCTGGGGAAGGGTTGATAATAGAAAAATGTATCTGGTAGATTTTGATTTTGCTGTAGATCTATGATAGGAACAAAAAGGAAAAAGAAATGTTACCACTGCAGGACTGCTGGGAGTCCAATTTTCTGTCTCTTGACTGTCTTAGCAATTTAAACAGATACTCTCTTCTAAATGTCTGGCATTCCTAATTATTGCTGTAGCTAATTTGTCTTGTCTTTTTCATGTTATTTTATTACTTTCTATCTGATAAAGTGTATTTTTGTATTTTAAAAATAGTGATGTGTAGCTTTTTATCATTCAATTTTTTATAACATTTTTTTCAGATTTACCAGGTGAATAGTGCCAAGAAAAACAATTTTCCTCAGTTATTTTCCTACAGTTGAGTGGTGTCTCTCCTCTCTTGATACTTTATGACCTCAGAAGATCTTTATTGTTGTCTCAGAAGGTCTGGAAGGCAAAGATTAAATTTTGCTAAGGTCTAATCAGATTTTCATAAAGTTGAGCCAGAAGATGAGGTTGTTTCTGTCTCCATTTTTGACTGGTTTGCACTTTATTTTTTTTAAATTGCATCTCTGACTTCCCTGCTGTGGTGATTTCACACTGGTAGTCACAACACTGTCTCCTTCTCAAGAGAGAGGAAAACTGCAGAGAGTGGGCTGCTAAGGAGCTCAGTGCGATGGCAGTTCTTGATCCTGTTCTCCGGAAATTTCTGTGATGCTTTTCCACGTCTGAATTGGAAGAGCAGGGCATATAAGTTCTTGGCTGCTGTTGCTGATTTTCTTGGTATAACTGTAGTGACACTCTGTAAACATCTCTGAAGAACCAGTGTCATAGCAGAAAGGGAAAGTGAACGGCAGGTCTGTGTCATGTCCATAGACTGACCATGGGCAGGCGGTGGGAGTTTTCCAGATGGTTGTAACGTGCAATGGAGCTTCTCTTGGTTCAGCACTTAGAGTAGGGTAAGGTCTGTGCTTTTGGAGAGCTCAGAGTGTGGGTCCAAAGTGCACGACTTTGACAGCACCAGTCAGAACCTGCTGCTCTGCAGTTGACACTTACCTGACTGTGTAGACCATAATTTGTTGATTGCCCCCTAGTTTGCTTCAGTCCTACTTTTTGCAACTGATCCAACAGATAAGAAATGTGAGGTGCTGGCTTCACCTGTATCCATGCCACAACTCCTACTTCCTTTGAGAGAGCTCTCTTCCTTGTCCTACTCTTCTGCTTGTTTTTCTTGGGTTCTCCCCTCAACCCTTTATCTGCTAAAGGATTTCTATAATGCAGGCAGAAAAGGCGTGGTGTCTATTTTCTCAAGGTACTTAGTAGGTGCAACATTGATGAATAAAATGGTTGTGGGAGCCAAATATGGGATTAATAGCTTCTATTATATTTAATTACCCCTTTGACCACCTGCTTAGTGGTATGGGACTTTTGGTGGATGGATAAAATGGATATGCAAGAGGAACAAAAGGTGAAGAGAGGAGAATTAAAAGATAGAACAATATATTTCACTTTTTTCAAAGATTATTCTTGCCCTGCTAATTTGTGGAAAAGAAAAGCAATTGAGTAACATTGTCACCTAGTCTAGAGTCATGTTGTTAAAGGCATAATCATAAAGAGGAAGAATTAAAAGATGCGTTTTGTAATGCTGGGGCCAAAAGTCCACCTGTATGCTGTGTGCTAGTGCTCAGTACTGAGTTATTTGCCCCCTTGGGTTATGAGGGCCAAATCTTGTTTACAGATTGCACCCATTTTAACCCCAGAACTATTAGTTTTTCTGGGATGAATCCTCGCATCTGTGCACTGAGGTGATAAGTGTGTCACCCAGCAGGCTGGTGGTGAGAGCTGTCCTGTCTGGGAGGGCTCAGTGCCATGTCCTGCTGCAGGGCAAGGCAGTACAGCTGGAATATCCTGTGTGCTCTTAACATCCACCCTGCTTTTAGCTGACTGCATCCCTGGGAGCAGCTTGTGTGGATAGCTGACCTGCATCTTAGTGTTTGTTTCCATCTTTATTCTTCAAATACTGTTGAGTTAAAATTATGAACAAACCAGCCTGGTAAACTTGGCAGATTCTCACTTTATTCATGACAGCAGATCTAATGTTCCTTGACAAATTGTTCCAGAGAAACTGTCTTGTAAAATACAAAATCTGCCAGTTTCTTAATACCAAACTATATTCCTATTAGGACACAGTGTTAATGGTTCAATAGAAAATACAATGCTTGCTGCAGAGTGAATCTGAAATCATCTAGCATACTTGATTGTTAACTGAGCTAACTATCCAGCAAGTGCATCGGCTGCCATCTGTCCATTTACTTGACAGCCTTGTCAGGGGGAAAAAAAAAAATAATCTTGAGAGCTGGCAGTGGTCCAGTTTGCTGCAGGTCTGCTTTCTAGTGTTTTTGTAGCAGATGTTGTGCCACATGCCCAAAGCTGCTGCATGTAAGCTGCTGTGTGCTCAAATTTTTAATTTTGGGGGTGTCTGACTGTCTTTGACACAAGATTTGCAGCCCCTTATGGGGTACCTTTGTTATAATGATAATCTGATGAAAGAACCAGAGTCAAATCTTCTAGACCTTTGTCACAGGTTTTCTGATGGCTTCAGTGGACACTGGATTGGACCCTGACTTGCTAATTGTTAAGTTGGTTGTTTTTTTTTTTTTTAAATCTTTTTAATTTAATTCTGTATATTTTAAAGTCTGGCATTTATAAAACACTTACTATGGAATTAGGGAGCCCTCAAGTTTGCACTGTGCTTTTAAGGAATTCATTATGCTTATCTGAGATTCTCCAAAACTGTTTATATACATAGACACGCTGCCTCTAATGGACAGCCAAACTAGAAATGACGCCAAATTTTTCCTTCTGTTATCTTCCACATATAACATAATTCCACCGAAAGCCAGTTGATCCTAAATTAATGTAAATCAACCAAGGTGAGGTGAAGCTTTAGAAACTGCTGTGTTTTTCATTTCCATGATTAAAATGCCTTCCTCCTCCTGTGCAGCTCGGTGGTTGTCAGCGGAGTAGCAGGAGGGAATTATCATCTTCCTGCAGCAACCCCTGCTGCAGCTGATAGGGAAGATTTCTTCTCTCCTTCCTTGCTTTTCATTAACAAAAAGCAAAAGGAAAAGAAGTCAATTAGGCAGTGCAACATGATATATCTCTGTACATTTTCTACATGTCATCCACTTCAAGAGGTTTGCTATATGAAACTGATAACATGGTTATCCACAGCATCTTTCTTCCATCCTGGTTTATGTTTCCACTTGATCACTTTGTGGTGGACTGCCTGTATGAGTTCTTGGAGGATGAAAAATGGTTTGACTGTGTCTGTTCAACTGTAAAAGCAACTGCCAATAGATTTACTTCTGACTGTATGTGTAAATAAAATACAGAACAAGAGGTGACCTATTTTATGTGTTAGGCATGGGAAATTTTCCAATCTCAGTAATTAATTTGTCACCTTTCAGTGGAAAACTTATAGGTTGTTTCTTCAACATGTGGCTTAATTTGCGTTTGTACGTTGTCCGTGCTTCTTTGAGCTTAAAATATGAGATTCAGAGTCTCTGCTTCTGAAAATATCAAAGGTGTACAAAGTAAAAATGTGATTACAAGACTCAATCTTCTTAATTAGTCTCTATTGTTCAGTCTGTTGAAAGCCATTTGCCTGTCAGGGAAATGCATCCCATGTGCAGGGAACACTGCTGGAGTGCTGCAGAAGTGATATGTTTTGAATATCCTGAGTTTTGGGAAAGGCCTTCGTAATATCTCTAACTAGAATACCAACTAGGTAGTTAATCATAATCTAGCATCTCAGGCTGAGAAATGCTCCTAGTTCATGCTGTGCATGCAGACATCTGTTACTCAGCAACAAACGTCACTCTCTTTCCACATGAATTATTAGCAAACATTAAAAAGACAGGTATACAGTAAAAGTTTAATGCCTATGAAATGACCTGTGAGGCTGCAAATGTCTTAGCACATGGAATATAATTCCGAGTAATAGAGATGAGCGTTCCAGAGTATTTATGATGATTTAAAAAAAAATTAAAAAATACTGCTGCCATGTAAAAATGAAACAAAGAATTCAATTTACTGTTTCAACAATGCATGCTTTACAAATGTACATGCTATGGTTTATGGAGGCATTTAGCTGAACAAGGCAACAAATGTTTTCTGGCAAGTATTTGTCTACAGTTGAAAATGTGTAGTTGCTTTCCTAAGGATTGGAAGTAATCTCGCTAAAGCAGAACAAGGAACTTTTACAATATCAAAATACCAGTAGAGAGTGGACAGAAAAACTGAAGTCAGGTGAAGATATGGCATTTATTGATCTTATCTGATAAAATATTTCACCTTTCTGTAACTACCAGTATAAGAATAGAATTAGAACAAGCTGTAGCTATCACAAGCATTATATTTCCCACACAATGCATAATTTAGGTTACATACAGGCAAGTGTCTGCAGTATTTCTCTAACATATAGACATCAAGTTCTATAATATTTCCATCAGGACAGTTTCTCTTGTTCTTACCTGTTTAATCCAGAGACAGATGTTGACAGTTCTGGTGCCCAGGTGCTTGTGCCAGTGCTCCAGGATGCAGCACCTCTCTGTGCTGGGTGTGCATTGGTGTAGATACTGAACCAGATATGATTAATCATGGTAGAAATAGTTTGGAAGATAAGCAATAGAAACAAAGAACTTGAAAGTTCATACAAAAAAGGCTGTGTAGAAACCTTACTTTTTTATCTTCTCTCTATCCTCCTAATCCTAAAGTCAGGCACTCTCCCTGTCACTCTCCTTTTCTCCATTGCTTAGCAACACTCATGGGTGAACTTACTTAAAGCAGAGCTTTGTTCCCAGATGTGATTTCAGTAATATTTGCAGGCTCAACAGTTCTAAGATGTGAAAATCAACCCCCTTCCTCCCCACCACTATTAGCCTACTTCGCTAAATAGTCTTTCTTGTTCTCTCCTGCACCCCAGGCATGTTTCAGTTTTTGTCTCTACTGTTTTGATCTAACCAAGAGTCTTGTGGAAAGAGGGGGGAGGTTCAAATAAAGCTTTAATTATGGAGAACATTCATACAGTGTGCGCAACAAAGCTGCGTGTTGGGCATAGAATTTGAGCATAAATGCAGAATAGGTCAAGAAAAGAATTGTTATTTTTCTCAACTCAATTTGACTTTTTTTTTTAAGTTGAGATAGAATAAATGGCATTTTTTGCACCAACATTTACATGCTGAATTGGTATGACCAACTGCATATTACAATATAGCCCTGAACAATCATTTTAAGTGGGGAGAAGAAACAGTAGCTAATTGCTTCCTACATAGTTTCTCTAATTTTGGCAATACAGTGACATATCAGCACTTCCTAGAAATGTTCAGCTTGCCAGGCTAATCTGTATCTTTATTCAGTCCTATTTCTGTAGAGATGATCTGGTTTATCCATTTGGTTTCCTCTTCCTTCGTCTGGCTGCTTTTCTGTAGTTGACTGTACTTTCGGTTCTGGGTGGGTTTTGTGTGTGTTTTCTTCTGCAAGCCAGAAGATGTTAATGTACATCTCTTTGATCTTAGAGACAAGCTAGATCACTCACCAAGGAGACTTGTGTTGAAATGCAAACATTTTCTATTGAAGTTTCTCTCAATTTATGCGCAGAACACTGTGTTTATATGTAAAAGCTGGAGGTAAGTCTTCAAGAGTTCTATTGCTTCAACAGTGCCATAACCATGTTCTGATATTCCACTGAAAACTCCTTGTGTTTTGAAATGGAAGACTTCCCATTTATGGCAAAACGTAGAGCTTTTGCCAGGCAGAATAATCTAATGTAAAGGCTTTTATATTTCAGCCTCTATTGTGGATTTTGAAGTTGACACTTGGCTGAATTACCAACCTTGTGAAATCAGTAATTTTGGGGGGCTTGTTGCTCAGAAGGGATGAGGTTGCACATGTGCTCCCTCAGCTCTAAGACAGTTAATAAAATGAGTAACCCTAAGAAAAGGCAGAGCAAATAAAATGCAGTAGCCAATTTTTAGCATACCTTTCATGATAGTCACAAAGAAGATTCTGGGAAAAGGCTGCAGCATTTTTCTTTGACTTGTAGAATTGTATTTTATCTGTAATCTACTTGACTCAGTTTGTCTGGATAGAAACCAAATGAAATTCTGAGTTACTGTGCATTCTCTCACTGGGTTTTGTATCACAGAGCTCTGTTGTAGCATACTGTCCTTTCAACAGGAGGATGAATTAATGAGGGCCTGTGTATCCCTACATGAAGTCATTTATAACATAAGAGAATTCCTGAAAGAATTCATGACAAGTACCGAAGAACTTTATAATTCTTTATTCTGTCTTCTATGTACTAGCTAGTGTGTTCCTACTGCTGCACCTTGTTTATTCATGGAAAGTGTGCTATTCCCTTCATATTCTTGCATGGTAGCTATGTGGTTTCTTTAGTTAAGTGCTGGATATTATGAAGAAAAGACCAAAAAAAAAGAAAAAGAAAAGAAGGACAGAAGGTGTGTTTGTTCCTTTGTCTGAGGAAAGCAAGTCAACTTTGTATCATTCATAACATGTCAAATTGATACAAATACACTTTTTGAATAAGATGCTAATTATTTAAATGTGTAACTAGACTATGTGAGGTTCCTCAGGTGTGTTCTGCCTGTTACCACAGGCTCAGGCACTTGCCAGGTGTTACATGTGCACAGGTTGTGTGCTGTGGGAGCTTTCTTGCAGTTCCAGTCTCTTTCCCCATGTTTGCTTCCATTCCCAAGCTTTTTCTTTTGCTGACAGAGAACATTGGTTTTTGCTTGAAAGCAGATGAAGGGGTTGAGTTGTTGTTGGGTTTTTTTGGGGGTTTGGTAGTGATTTTTTTCTTTTTTTGTGTGTGTGGATAATATAACGATTTGGCTAAATATTCAAGTGAATAAAGGTACACCAGCTCAGTCTTACTGTCTTTCTAACCTCTTCAAACTACTCAGTCTACTGATCTATGTGGAGCCTGGCCACGGTTTTGCAGGAGGCCATGCAAGGATGGGAACCAGTTCTCCATTGTAATAGCCCAGTGTAGCACCAGAAGTTCACAAGGTGCCTTGCACCGTTAGGTAGGATTAGGCATAGTGGTGGTGATGAGGATGAAGATAACACACTTAACTTATGCTTTTCATGTTCAAAGCACTTAAAAGACAGTATCAAATTAATCAGGTTGTGGTACAGATTAAATATTCCAAGTGGTTTTCCAGTTTGGTTGCTGTCATTATCAGCACTTTGCAGGTGATGGGTTACTCTGCCTTTACTCTTCAAATTCCTGATGCAGTTCATAAAAATCCTGCTGACTTTGCAATTCTGACAGAGACCCTGAAAAACACTGCTTTTATTTGGAATAAAATTAAATGTTTGACTTTGAGCATGTGTAGAAAACCGGGGCTAGAAAAGTAAGTGGAGAAACTTGAATACTGTTGCGACTGAACGTCCTGGAGGAGTGCACTGGAGTATGTATCCCTTTTGCTCTTTGTACTGAGGGCCTGAATTAAGCAGGCAGTAGTTGTGAATGAAGATTATGCAGCTTTTTGGGGAAGGATCCTAAACACCTAGACTGTAAATTATGTTGGTTATACCAAGTGTTTCCAAAACCTCTCTTCTTTCAATTTTGGAGTGCTATTGCTTCTGTCAGCGTTTGAGATGTGTTTGTTGTAGTTCCCCCTACCCCTCTCTGTTCTTTGGTGGGTTTTTTTCCTATGTAAAATTATTCCATGAATTTGAAAATTGGTTGGAAAAATCAAGTACATGAGGGTTTGTGTCTTTTATTTTTTCCTCCAGAAAATGCATTATACATCTGGAACACTTTGCTTGATGTTAACTTTCCAACTCTCTCACCCTCGTGACTTCAGTATTTTTCATATCTTGTCTTATCTCTGTTCTTGGGCTTTATGGCAGAAAATGTGTAATATTTGTGTGCAGCTGAGGACAGAGGGTGGACTTGGGCTGAGCAAAGACTTAAATGTTGTTCAGATATAAATGGTGTGTAATAACTGTACAAAACAGATTTGCTGTTAGACATCAGCCTTGGCGCTGCACACTTGAAGTCTCCTGTATGACATCTGAAAGTGAAATGTTACCTTGCTTTTGCTGCAGGCAGTTATAGACAAAGGTAGGCCAGGACACTGATCTTTCCTGTGTTTTAAAATTGAAGAACCAGTGAGTGTGACATGTGAAATCCTTCCGTAAGTTGCTTCTGTAATTAACTGCAGTGTGATATTTCAAACTTGAAACTTCTTTCCTAATGGAGCTTTTACGTGTCGTTTAAGTAACCCTGCCATGCAACTGTGTCATTTCCAATTCGAACCACCTACCTTTTGTGCCGCATTCTGGGTAGCCCGGAACGGGCTGGAAGCACTGGCAGAGCCCTCCTGTGGCTTGTTTGGTATGTGCAGCTTCCCAGGAATGGGCTAAAACGGTAGGACACTGTCGGCCAAATCTTGCTGGGATTACATGCCCCTAGTGTTATAAAGGCATTGCGAAATCTCGCTCATTTCCCAGTGAAGAGGTCAGTACACTTGGTGCAGATAAGTTCTGATTCTGTGCACATACTCTGCTCGTGCTTCCATTCCACTCCTTGTAGCTCTAAGGATGAGAGTTGGGGAAAGCGACACTGAAAAGCCGCCCAACGATCTGGGCTCCAATCCTACAAGTCCTTGGACACTTGCCAAACTTTATTTGCAAGCAGTTGTATTTATGCTCTTCTGCAAACTAACTCCTTTGTGTCTAAGAATTCTTAAGCATCAGGGCTTGAAGGGATGATCTTGTCCTATTGCGATAGATGGTTTTGTCAGTCTTCAGTGGGCAAAAGAGCGTAACTTAAAACAGGTGAGGTTTTTCTCTGAACATGGCTGCTTTAATAAGGGCATGTTGTGTCATCAATTTTTAAGCTAAACTCCCTATAGAAATCAAAGAAACTTTCTGCTGAAAAATCAGTTGTACAGTCTGACCCATAGTTACTGCCTGTCATACAAGGCTGAACTGCTTTCTTTGTAATTTGGCCTCTTTCTTGCCTCCAACCCCTGCCTCTTTTTTTTTTTTTTTTTTTTTTTTTAAGTATTGAAGCAAAGCATGTGCAGTCTCTTTGGAGCATGCATTTAGGTAAGCCATCTGATGGCTGAAACTGCTTCAATTCCTTTGGCTGTGGAGGATAAGTTAGCTCCATGTGAAGCTATACCTCCTGCAGACAGCAGAATAGTATGTGAAATATTTAACATTTTAATTGTGTGAGGCTTCATTGAAAACCTTATTTTCCTTGCTATGTGTCATTTAGAGAGGCAGTGCTGAGCTACTGCTGAAAATAGGAGCCCTGACAGACAGGGAGTATGGCGCTTGTTTAACAAAGAACAGCGTGCAGACTCCATAATGCTTAAGGCTATATAATTCCATTTTCTTCTGTAGATTCAGCCTCATTGCTTTAGTGTCTGCAACACATGAGCTTTTAGTATTCAAGAAAAAAATTCAAAGCCTGCCTAATGCGATGTCATGTGCAGAATAATTTAGGTTTCGCATAATAGATGTTTACTTTTTTATTGTGTGATATACAAAGAATATAGAACTCTTAAAAAAAACCCCAAACCAGAACCAACAAGCAAACCCCCTCAGGTTTCATGTTATCACTGTTCATATAAGAAAACATGTATGTTTTCAAGTATTTGGTTGCCTTTTTTTTTTTAATTTCTAATCCAGAGGAAAATTATCTTTCCACACAAACCCTGCCATTAGTTCAATAGCTGATGTTTTTTATGACACAGTGAAAAAAATGCAACCTCCAGGCAAGATCATTCATTTTTGCTTAATCACCATACTGGGAAAATTTGACTCTTTCACATGGGTGAAAAATGACTTTTCATGGCAAATTTGTTTGTTATACTCCACCCTTGCTTTTAGTAATGAAAAAAATCCATCAGGAGAAGAGGATATTTACTATTTGTGTAAATTAAATTTTTCATTG